AAATTTCACTTTCAAAATGGTGGAGATCGGACTAGAACCCCACCTACTTCGCATATAACACAGTATTAAACTGCATCATGTTTTTTGACTTTATAGTATAAAAAAACAAGCACTATGTGCCTCCAGGGTGTGGTGCGTCTCATTCACAATGGTCGTAATCGGAGTATAACCTTTAAAAGCTCCCAGATACCGAATTACCAGCTGACTAAGATCTCTAAGATCCCAAAGATATCAAAACGAAACCAAGTGTGTATCTTTTCCTGATAATATCGTCGCCTAAGTTATAAAATTCGCTCAGTATATACCCAAGCTCTCTTATGAATAAAACAAGAATTTTCGAACTTCCGTTAGATTTTATGACCTATATATCGGTCAATACGTAATATGTCTTAACAAAATTAAGTGAACATATTATTTTAGATAAATGTATTGTAGTTTGGTGCTGAAAATGGATGAAATCGGTCCATGAATTTTCCAAGACTCATAGACTACATATAATGATTTCCGTTATTCCAGCAGAATTTCTGCCGCATATATCATCGAGTTGAAAGTAATCATAATTAAATTGGGTAGATATATTTTCTGAAGCATATTTTCGTTTATAGCCAAATGTAAATGAAATCAGTCTAGATCTTTGCCTAACCTCTTTAGACACAGTATATAGGATTCCTATAACATTTTTTTATTTTATTAGAATTGCGAGAATGTGAATTGTTCGGTTTCAAGCAATCTTCCTTTCTTGTTTAATTTTTTCTGAATTTGTTTATTGTATATGTTTATTATATATATTGAAGCCCGAAAACTTTGCAGACGGCTAGTATACACACAAGATCAAACTTGACGCGGACTGGTCCTTTTTAACAGCCACCGAATTCGCTATGACCTTTGGAGAACGCGAGATGAGTCAACTGACTCTTGCTTTAAAAATTGTGAGACGAACTAATCGCGTGGTAAACAAACAGCTGCAATACACACTAATTCACATAAGACATTAAAAATGGTTGTAGCAATCTGGAAGAAATTTTTTTTTATTCGGTAGGCGAACGCAGTTCAATTTAATCAGTCCGAGTCATATTTGATCCTGAGTGTATAGCATACAATTTGTGAAACTTTCAGTTTTAGTTCGATAGTTGGCAGCTCTATTTTAAAATTGGTGCAAGTATAAGATTTCAGAGAATATATATAATTCAATAAATACATATTTCAATATTACTTTGCTGTTTAAGCAAATTGGCTTCATTATTATTATTTGTTTTTTTTTTTTGCATTTTCTTACGGTCAATTCCATCAATAAAAATTCAATGGAAATGAGTGGAAATAAACTTTCGCCACTTTCGTTACAACTCCCGTCAATCATAACCAAAAATTAACGGTAGACGCGTCAGCTGCAAACATATTAGACAATTTATCAAGGCCACGTGCCAAAACCGACGATAACGGCATAGCAAGCAAACAAAGTCAAAGTGCAGTTACGTGCAATAAGCAAACAAATACATTTTATAAACCACACACGCATAAACATATATTTGCAGACATGCAATTGACTTGGAAAGCATGAGCATGAGGCCTACTGCTACAATATAAATATGCATGGATTTGTGCGTGTGTGTATGTGTATAATACATATTTATGTCTGCCATAGCCGCCTATTTGTCTAGCGGCAAGACATTCACTTCAAGCGCATGCGGACACACATGTGTAAGAGCAAGAGTACATACAAATGCATGCGTCTGGCCACTTTGCAAAGTAAGCAAAAAAGCAACAATAACAACGACAACACAAAGTGCTCTGACGCGATTTTTTTAATTTTCTTGCATTTTTTTTAATTTTTCCATTTAATTGCAGTTGTAAATTTTTGCTGCGTTTTCACTTTGCATGTGTGTGTGTATGTTTGTATATAAATATTTATTTACCAGTGCACGCATGCATTGAATGCAAAAAAACATCCAACCACAACAAAAAGTAGTATACTTGTATGTTTATTGCAATCACACGACACACTGTGCCACATTTGGCGGCACAAAGCTAGCAGCAAATTGCAATAACAGCCTAGCTACAAATAACCAAACCTTGTGTACATATATATGTATATAACTGTATAAATATGCATTTAGTGCCGTTCTGGTTATACAAAAGGTGCGTTGTGTGTTGTTGTAAGCGCTTTTGATGTCGCAGCACATTTGTTGCACCTCGACGCAACTTAAATATTTACAAAGCGCTTGTAAAAGTGTAGTTATGTACATATGCGCCTATGTTTGTTGTTGCATGTGTGTCAACACGCATTAAACGCACCAATAATGCTTTAATTAAGCTGCAGAAATTTAATTAACTCGCAAACTCAGCATTTAATCGCTTGCATGAAGCATTTGCGCACTTGTGTGTGTGTGTGTGTGTGTGAGTGTGCTGAAGCACGCATAATTTATTCAGCTATGGAAATGTCAACGTCAACTCTGGCAGTGATGTGACAATCATTTTATCGAATGCGCTTTTATGAAATATTTGAGCAAATTTTTAATCCAATTTAAATTATGTATAACAATCTCCCAAGCTCTCTCTCTTTTTAGTGTGGTTTTAACAAAATCTTATATGCGTAAAATGATTAAGCTAATTAGATCAGAGAACGTAAAATGAAGAATCCCGAATCCACTAAGTGTGAGCTAGTCCTTTTTCATATAATTTAAAATTCGTGAAAAAAAAAATGTTCTCAGTTTTGAGTACTAGAGACTTTAGAGAGGAAAAAATTACAGTTTCCGATAGTCTCTGGAACTTAATCAAAAATAAGCATTTTGAGTCATAAATGATATACATTACTGTTTCTTTCCTTTTAGTACTGGCTTCAAAAGTCCATTGAAATTTGGAATACAGCATTTAAGGCGTGCACCTAGTTAGAAATTTTGAAACAAGTATTTTTTTTAATTTTTTTTTGCATTTTCTTTAGTACATGATTTTAAAAATACCATGCCTAAATGAAAAACTACATTTTTCAAATTCCCATGGGTTATTAAACGAAGACATATGATCCGAATACTATCAAGTATTTTCTGTACGAGCATATAGTTCTCGTAAATAGTTCTCAATACAATACCTACCAATTTTTGATTTGAACTAAAATCGACCAATTTTAGCTTATTTTTTTTCTAAAACACCGCTATTTTGTAAATTTTTTAAATTATTTTCAGCAGTATTGTCTATAGACAATATCATCTAGTAGACAGCTTTTGTTATGGTTTCATCCACGGTGAAGGCCGAGATAACTGCAGCTGTGGAGGGAAATTTTTTAGCGCCGTCGGAGATCGCGTGTAACTCGAAATATATTCAGTTTTTTTTTCTTAAAAACTTTACTCTCTTAAAATATGTATAAACATACTCTTACGGCTCAATAAGGACAGTAGTCTTTATTTTTAAGATTCGCAAAAATTGCTCCTTAAAAATATATTATTAAAATAGCTAGCAACAATGATCTATTAGTTGTATTGAAAAAAAATGAATACTTTATCAAAAAAATGTGAAAAATTTCATTAAAAAAACGTGCTTCTTTAATAACGTGCTTGTACGCCTAAAAGTATATCATAAGCTGTAAGATAAAACTTTATTTGACGCCAGCGATAATTTGCTACACAATTTCAAATTTCACACTCGATCAAGCAGAAGTGATTTTCTGAACTTCAAATGAAAAATATGACTACCAAAGCAACACAAAAAGCATGTAACTAAAAGTATAGTATACACACAGGCGCTTAACAATTATCTTGCTGTTCTACCACATATGCGTGAATTTGTGAGTCATTTATATGTATAGACAGTCAACAAAATCTACGGAATTCCAAAATAAACCTGCGCACACTGAGCTACATCGATTTTGACACTTCATCAGACAAGCCAAAGCATGGAGACCACGAATCGGTGGTATGACGAAGTAGATGGCTCCACTTCAAGCGTCTCACAATTGTTGTCTTTTACGTTATTTATGTGAGTTTATGTGTTTTCATGGAAAACCAATGCCAAAGCAGACAGAGAAAATGGTTTTGCGTGTATTCATTTATCTTTTGCTATCTAAATGTATGTAGACGCAATTAATGTGTATGTACATACATATGTACATAAGTGTAAGTGTAGGTACACCGAAGCTATAATACTCTTCACAAATAAAAAGTTTTTCATACAATAATTTGATTCTGATGAGTTAGTGTGTATGGCAGCTATATGATATAGAGGTTCAATCTAAACAATTTGCCTTTAAAAAAAGCTTTAACAAATTTCTTAAAGCTATCTCGTTAAATAAAAAAGTTTTCCATACGCGAACTTGATTTTGAGCGATTAGTTTGTATGACAGCTATACGTTATAGTGCTCCGATATCGACGGATCCAACAAATACGGGTCGTATTGAGGAGAAAACGACATATGCAAAATTTCAGATCGACATCTCAAAAAATGAGGAACTATTTCCCGTATATACAGATGGACATGGCTAAATCGACTAAGCTTATCAGTAATTTATTTATATATATGCATGTATAATTTCAATTTCCATCCACTTTTTTTTTAATAGGGCGTCCAGGGTATAATAAGTCTCAGAAATCTTTGTACATGTTTATACTAGATTTGTATGTGTGTGTTTGAATTCTTTATTGGCGAATTGACCCAAATATTTTGCGTGCTTTTGTACAATCACGAGAGTGAGCAGCTTTTTATGTGCTGGTATTTCGTACATTTGACTCACTTGCTTGTATGAGGGTGGTTTTAATCGCCTAAAAGTATGCCATTCACTCCGAGTTAGTGTTTGACTTTCATTGAGAAATTTTGGGTTTTAGGCGGCTTTTGCGGTTTAACTGAATGCAAAGATGCTTTTCCTTGGATTTACATATACTTGTACATACATACATTTATTATATTGTACATATATCTATATTATATTTATCATACATACAACCCTAAGTAAACCTCAATACCCAAAGAAATCTATATTTCTAACAACTCTTAATTATTCTTCTACTTGCAGATAAAAACGACACGTTCACAGAATAAACAATTATTGCTTCCAAAACGTCTCATTACTGCCAGGCTTCAACTAAATTGAGCACTAACTTCAGATCAGCTGCCCAGAAGTGCGTGTGATCCAAAGCAGCTGTGTCTGTGGAAGTTTTCGTGACTGAAGTGCATGTCACAGGAATCAAATACATTAACCACAAAAAGAAATTCTAAGCATTTATTCTACATAAATCGGTGCATAAGTGTGCGTGGTTTGTCTGAAGTGCCAGCAAGCTCGAATATCAAGTAGATTTGTAATCAAGAAATAAAACAAAAGAACGGTAAAATAATAGGCAATTTGTGTAAAATAAAGAACGGAAATGTGTGACGGAAGACGCGCTACAGAAATGGATCACTAAGTATTAGAAAAGATAGAGAGAAAAAGAGAGTGAGAGTGCTGCGAAGACACATATACTGCCATTAGTAAATTCTAGCTCACTCATAGCAGAAGGAATTTTTAGAACCACACGCAAAGCAAACAAAAACTAACATGTTTCTGCCAGTTAAATCGAATATGTAAGTAAATATGATTTATATTTTTAAACAAAATTATTTTCATACGCGGCAAACATTAAAATTTTTATTTAACTTCCAAAACTCACCCTCAAAGTATACCGTTTGGAATTGGGTGTATCGGCTTGTCGCCTAAATCACGGATTTTTCATGTTACCAGCGCCGCGTGGTCATTACTGTCGCACCACAAAGCACTGCACCCTCAATAATGATTTCACACATTACCCTACATATGAGCACAAAAGTATTAAGTACTTACTTTTGCGTGAAGACATAAAAGTGTAACAGCGCCAACACAGTTAATGTGGCTGTTGTAGCGAGTTAATAATGTTCAAGCATGCACATTACGGTTTATTTCGATGTAAAGTGGTGACTGCAGTTGTCAAGCAGTAAGGCTCCTAACAACTTTGGTTGCCCAGTAGGAAAACTGGTTGATTGAAGTTTCTAAGTTAAGTACAGCTGACACTGGATATATGGCTTACAGTTTGTTCGTGTTGGCAAATTTATGCCAGGTGGATTTCTTATTTAACGGACCTTAGCATTTAAAAAATGTTCTAAAAAATTGGTCACATTCGAGTTTTACTTAAGGAAAGTCTTATTCACCTAGCGTGACAGCCTTAAAAGTGCGATTTTTAGGAAATAAAAAAACAAAAAAAAGTACATGAATTATTTTAAAATTGTGTACTACTACTATATAATAGGTAATTCTTTTGAAAAAATAATTAAATATTTTTGGCATTACACGCGATCTCCGACGAAGCTAAAAAAAGGTTCTCCACAACTGCAGTGATTCCGGGCTTCTTCGAAACATCCCAAAAAAAAAAATTAGCTTCTAGAAGATGTTGTCTGTTCTACGACTTATAGTCCAAAAAAAAATTCGGAGTTTTTAAAAAAGAAGTTAAATTTTACCTAAAATTTTGGACTGCCAAAATTATACTTTTTATCCGATCAAAAACCTGGTAATTAATTGTATGGAGAGAGTATAGAAATACAAAAAAATATGAAAGTGATCGCACCATTAGTCTCTAAGTAATCACACAAGCAAATTTGAAAAATGCAGCTTTGAGAAAAAAGCGTTCAAAGATAAACTGACAGAGCTGATTGAACTAAGCGGCTACAGTTTCGAAGTCTGTAACTCAAAAACTATCCGAGCTATTGATTTACAGTTTTAGTATGTTATTTCTAGAGGTGTAACCTGTCGAAATATGAAAAATTTTATTCTTTTTACATTAGAAAAAATGTTTTTTTGCGCTTCCATTGACTAATATACAATACTGTCAAATGATGGAAAATTGGACCCCTGCCTTTTGAGTTCAAAGAGAAATAATTTTATATCAAAATTTTGAAAAATTTTGCTTATATTATATAAAAAATTTCCATTACTTTTTCAACCATCGTAGCGTTAATTTGGCACGAATTTTTGCTTTGACAGACAGTCAGAGCACTTTAAGCTTAACTTTGTTTTCTTTGAGACAGACCACTCTCAGCAGTAATACTTTCCAACTTTTCACGTAAACAATTGTCCACTGGAAACTCATAGCATAAGAGTTCCGCGTACTAAATAATTACGATATTCCACTTGAATTAGAGTAAAGTATTTTTAACGCGAAAATGACGCCATCCGAAACTTTTATTCAACTTTGCTCTTTTCCACCCTTCGAATAGAATTCAGGAAAGCAAACATTGTCAACACAATAACCAAAACATTAATGTCCGTTGCTATGCGCATTGGTCACACACACACCCTCTTCTTTTGTCAATGCTTTTATTGTTGTTGTTTGTTTTTGCCTTATGTTGCATTGTTCTACGATTTATTGTCAATTTTTCTGTCGCCCAGTTGTCTCGCTGTCTCTACTGTTTGTCTGTCTTGTGGTCTGTTGATATACAAGTAAGTCTGCTTTTTGGCGATAATGATTGCTGAGAATGATTTGAAAAATTTAACTTGTCTTGTATATGTGTTAAATTTGCTCAAAGGAATTTCGTATTTTAAAGGAAACGTTTACTTGAACTTCTTGATTTTTATAAATGAATTGAGTTAATTTAATCTTCAAGCGTTTTTAAACAGATGAGTTATGCAGCCTTCTGAGATTATTTATGCTTAGATTAGATCCCAATTAAGCAATTAAGAAAATATTTACAATTCAATCCCTAATTATTCTTATTTTGGCATACTATTTAGCAATTCAATTAAAGTTAGTTTATTAGTACTTAATTCAGCATAAATTGTTTCAAAATTTATTTTTTAACCCTGCGAAGTATTTTTAATAATTTTGCTTTTTCAAAATAATTGTAAACAATAAATTGAGTTGGTTTGAATACCATCAGTCAATTAACCGATTAATTGGCTCAGCTAATTTGCCTGTTTAAATATTGTATTAGCTTTTCTTGAGGACCACCATAAGTTCAATCAGGGTTTTTTATCCACCTTGCCTATTAAATTATCGTTCTTATAATACGATTATCCACAATATTACTGATTGAACTTATATTTGTTTGTATAGTTAATTTAAGAACAATCAGTTAGATATCTGAACGAAGTTATAATCTTTTCGTAGGCAACCGAACTTGTTTTAAAATGGGATTCGGCACTATTAATCGATTCAGTTCTTTATATCGGAAAACCAGCTTTTTTTACTATATTAAGTTGGTAGAAGCTTCTTCGTTCGTTTATTAAGTTAGGTACGAAATTTTTAACACCCCGTAGGAAACGTCGGATACCCTATAACATATATATATATATATAAAAACAGCGTGACCAGCTGAGTCGATTAAGCCGTGTCCGTCGGTCTGTCTGTATATAAGCAAGCAGTTTTTGAGATATCTATCTGAAATTTTGCACACGTCATTTTCTCCCACAGAAGCTGCTCATTTGTCGAAACAGTCAATATCGGTCTACTATAACTTATAGCTATCATACAAACTAAACGATCAAAATCAACTTCTTGTAAAGAAAAATTCTTTACTTGACAAGATATCTTCATGAAATTTAACACAGATTATTGTCCAGGATAACGCTACAATCACCGAATAAATTGTTCAGATCGGATCACTATAGCGTGTAGCTGCCATACAAAGTGAACGATCAAAATCAGGTTCTTATATGGAAACTTTTTTATTTATGAAGTGTATTATAGGTTCGGTGCAGTTGAAGCTAACGTTTTTTCTTGGTATGGTATTGAACTATAATAACAGCGCCTACCTAAATAGTATCGCTTAAATATGGAGAGTCAATAAAAACTATTACTATAACCCATCAACTAGTTATATTGCATTCCACTCAATATGAATCTGCAATGCTTTTCAAAAATAGAAAAACAAGCTCACTTCATCACTTGTCAATTCCAAATGGAAATGCGGCATTCAAAAATTTCATCATGTCCAAATTGCCACTTAGTGGACCCGAAAGCACAAAATGAGCAACCAAATTACATTTGAAATGTGCTCTAAGCTACTCGACAGCGTCAGAATCAATCATGCAAAGCCGCAAAATGTTGTCACTGAATAAATCCTACAAAATGGTAGGCGTGACACGCGAAGGGGAAAGGAAGAGCCAGCAGAGACGAACAAGTCACTGTGTCCGTGGCAATCTCTGCCAATTCACTGGCAATTTTCTGGATTTCTACATATTTACACACACATTTGTACGCTTGTACCGTTATAAGCGGTGAGGGGACTATTAATGCAATGACACGGCAGTAAACCAATACAGAAAATGGCCTAAAATCCTATGTATGCTAATGGGAGGCCAACAGACACCGCAACGTACCAACGCCGCAACGCAGACGAGCTGCGCACACACACACAACCCCGGGTACTTATACACACATAAATCATGGAGACTAAGCCGAACGAATTTTTCAAGTTGATTTGGCAATTTGTTTTGACTGCAAAGTGGAAGTTTGCCGCATTTTGTTTTCTCTTTTTATTTTATTTCTTGTTTTATTGAGCAAAAACGAGTTGAATTTTTATTTGCCAACACTTGGTGCTGTTAGATTGTTGTGATAAGAATATTAGGAATAGTTGGCGATTTAAAGTAAACGACTCCGACGGACAGGCAGCCAAAGAGGTCGACTATGGTCATGTGAGTTCAGCTCAATTCAGGTCAAGTACACCCATAACTGGTTTGATGCAGAGGAGTACGCTTGGCGTATACGCAACCTTAATATATTCTTCTTTTTTTTTTTGTTATAAAAGATAATTTTAGCGATCTTTATTAAAACAACTTTTAACTGTATAGGTAAGCAGGGTTGAAATTTGGTCAGCGAGTCATGAGCTAGTCAACTCCTTAGTCCAGAACTAATAACATCGCGCTCTTGCTCTGCATTCTGTGAATAACGTTCTGATTACTTCCCTGTCTACTTTGAGAGCGCTCTTTTCCGTTCCCACAATAGTCAGGTTTACGTAACTGAAACGTACCCTGATTTTGATCCTGCCAAACACTGACGAACACGGCAAGATTCCTCCAAATTATGAAAAAAAAATATTTTCTGCTGCTAAAACAACAACAAAGAACGCTAAAAATCTAGTTTGTTTGTTCAAGATTAGTACACGAGATTGTTGACCTTTCAATTTTCAAGCATAATTTCAATACTATAAAAGGACTTTCCACCACAGGTCCGCCTTTTAAGGTTATGTGTTTTATTGTATTTATAATTTTTTTTAAATCGAATTAAGAACCGAAAAATAACAACGCTGATTAAAAAATTAAAGCCTTCTTTAAATTCAGCATCTAACTAAAGCTATCCTAACAGATTTTCAATTGAGCAGTTAAAAAAGTTTTACCCTTAATATACTCGATATATCATTTAATGCAGTAGTTAATTGCCTTATTAGCTTTTAATTGGCAATAAACTAATGTAAAAGTCGCTAAGCAACCCTGTGAAATGTGTTCAATGACAAAAGGAGATAGTGCTAAGGGTAATCTGCAGAAAAATTTTCAAAATATTCTTCAAAGAGAAAATACGCCATATTTTACAGCTTTTCCTCGATAAAGGTTAAAAGGCAAGCTAGGTGGCTGAAAATGTGAACAGTGTTTATGGAAAGTCAATTGTCAAAAACATCGTTAAAATAATGGAAATTGTCGAGTCCAACCGTCATTTAAGCGCTGTTTCACTATATAACATTTATGAAGCGGTTGCTTACTGGTGATGAAAATAGGCTCACTTACGACAACGTCAATCGAAAATGATCGTAGTCGAATTGCGGAAAGTTGCCGTAAATAGTGGCCAATCCAGAATAAGGCCTTAATACTGAAGGTTTTGTTACGGTTCAACCGTCTGAAGAAATCAATCGCTCAAAAACGATCAGACCACTCATCGATACTCGCCAGAAGCTCCGGGAGCTAGGTTAGAATGTCCTTATGCATCAACCTTATAGTCCGGCCCAGGCACTTAGAGATTACCACTACCATTTCTCTAAGTGCCTGTCTACGGAGAATGATTTTCATGGAGAAAAATTGGTCCCAATAGAATCTTATGAAAATCGACTGTCCCTAGCTTTTTGCCAATAAGCAATTACCTTCAAATTGGCAACAAGTTATGGAATGATACGTCGCATATTTCATCTAAATCTAAATATGCTAAAATAACTTTGATGAAAAAATAGTGAATTTTTCTTCACTCGACCTTATATTTTAACAAATTTTGAGCAGCGTTTTATTATAATAATACAAGGAGTAATGCTCAAATTCAAATTTCCCCTCAAAAATTCTTAACTCGATTGTATCAATACGAAAAATTAAATATTTACGTTTTTATTTAAAATTTTATTCTTTTAATTATATAAAAAATTTCAAGTACACAATTAGAACTTAAACAAAAATTTAATCCACATTGATCTATAAACTAATTAACAGTTAAGCTATAATTTTATAGCAAAAAAGTCCTATCGTAAATACATTATTTCATACCTAAGAGATATACGTTTGCCTTCATCATCTCTTTATAGCCTACGCTTTACGACTTCTTGTATAAATTTTTGCATAAAATTTCTATGTGCTTTTTCATTGCTCTCGTTGCAGCTCAACGGAGAATAATTCCGCGGGTGGCAATAATGAGGACGTCACCACCACCAGCAACAATTCCACACAAACACCAAGCGACTTAAGCCCACCGGGTCCGAATGAGGAGGTCTTGCCGCAGGCGCATCATCAAAATCCCGGCCACTGCATCGCCTCCTTTGCGGCCATTAATCAAATGCGCAACAACACGCAGGTGTGTACTAACAACAACTCAATACTATACATAACTGTTTACAGGAGTTTTTAATTAATGCGCCGCTAACTGTTAAAAGTTAGCCATTAGCATACGTGTAGAAGCAACAGGCGCTGGAGCGAGTGAGTGACGTGGACAGGCGAAGTAATTAATCAAAAACAACTAAACAAAAAATGTTTGCTTGTGATAGACAATTTTTTTTTACTATTTGTTTTTTTGTTATTTATTTATTTATTTTTATTTTTGCATTTCTCCCCACCATTTAATTAATTAAGTTGTATTATTAACCGATGTCCGCGCGCTGGTGGTTCGGCGATGGGGAAGTCATTGCACCCGCACATTTAAATTTTCCGCCACGAATTTGTTGGTTTTGTTGGAATCATTGAAGCGCACACAAGTGTCACGCACTCGCTCGCTGATTTTCGCGCTCTGCAGAGCTCATTGAAGTTTCGCATAGAAATGTGAAATTAGAAATTTTTCGCAGCTCAAGCATCAATTGTTGTAATTGTTGTTTGATATACAAGGTGCGTTCCAAAGTAACAAAGTAAACTCTAGTGGCGCCATATATATATCGACTAGTGCGTTAGAATCTGCTATCCTTTATCGACTTCCAGTAAAAATTTCATGACATTTCATCTTTTGGAAATGAAGTTATTGCGTTTTAAGTGTCAGTATGTTATTGCCATCGGTGCGAAAATGAGCTTCGAACAAAGAACCAACATTTAGTTTTGTTTTAAAATTGGTAAAACTTTTACCGAAACGTTTCAATTGATGAAACAAGTTTATGGCGATGATTGCCTATCCCGTAGCAGAGTGCACGAGTGGTTTCAACTCAAAAAATCGCGCCTGGAGAAGTCAAAAGTGAAGACAATGCTGTTTTGTTTTTATGATTCCAATATCGCGAAGATGGAAGTTGGCATTTGTTGCCCGATAGCGCGCCATCTCATCGATCGACGCTTGTGGCCGATTATTTGACCAAAAATCACATTTTAACAATCAACCACTCCCCGTATTCACCTGATATGGCACCGTGCGACTTCTACCTTTTCGGAAAAATGCATATGCCGATGAAAGGAAAGCGTTATGCAGGCGTGGATGCCATTCAAAAGGCTTGCACCGGCATACTGGCGGCCATACCGGGCAACGAGCTAAAACACTCGTTCGACATGCTTTTGGACCGTGCAAAAAGCTGTATTAAAGCAGAAGGAGACTATTTTGAATAAAATTAATTGATTTTGCCGATAAAACCATTTGTTCTGTTTTTTTTAAAAGTCCCGTTTACTTTGGAATGCACCTTGTATTGTCGTATTTATTTATTTTTTAATATCATCTTGATAATTCGTTTAATTTGTGACAGCCCAGTTAATTGCGTATACATAACTGTGTGGTATGGCCTGAGCAGAGCAGCGTAACGCTTAGCAACACTTCAGAAGTAAAGCGTTTTGCTGGCGCACGCTTAGGTCAATGAAACGTTTTAGTGTCGTGCAAATAAAATTTAATAATTTAATGAGTGAATACGAGGCTGAAAACAGTTGCTGAGGAAAATTACAGTTATTAATAAGATGAGAGAGAATAAATTATGAATTTTTGGCTGTGTGACTTATACCCTTTACATATCGCTTAAAACTATTATAAGTTTGTTCAGCTAACTTGTCTATAACGGCAAGATTCAAACGGTATAGCTCATGGATTAGTAAAGTTATTGAAATTCGAGTTGGGTTTTTTAATGGGTTACATAGGTTTCGTCGAGCAAAAAACGCCCTATTTTCTGTAATTTTTTTCATATAAAAAATTAAATATTTTATGAAAATTATTATTATTCCGAAAATACATACTTGATAAAGATTTTGTGAAAATTTCAAAGGAAAATATTCAAAACTCGGTCATAACGTAGTCATTTCCGGCAGTCCCCCGGAAAAGAGGTGCTTCCGCGTTGACAGCAGAACTTCTGACAGGATCATCAAAAGTAAAAAGAAAAACATACGTGTTTGAATTAAGACCATTAACTGGGTATTAGAAAGAAAATAAATAAATAAACTAAAACTACTAATTGTATTTTTGACAGCTGTTATTACGAAAACAAAAACAAAAACAGACGTTTTTTGTTTTTTAAATAGTTGTAATTGAACAAAAAAAGATCGGTTGAGTAGTTCGTAAGAAATCTTGACAACCGACTTTGAAAACACAGTTTCGAGAAAAACGCGTTTAAAACTTAAAGTGAATATATACCTGACCTCGAGCGCGCAACTTTTCAAAGCTTTATCTCCATAACTATTACTGGTATGAACTTGAGAATTTTAGACAATATTCTAGAGATATTATAAAATTAAATAAAATAATAAAAAAAAAAAATTTTAAAGCCGTGAACCCACACTTTGTTCATTGATAGAGAGATCAATGTTACATAAAAGAAGAAGAAGATATTCTTATAATATAATATTTAGAAAATATTTTCGAAGATCGCTGGCTGAATTTGATCATCGCCACGTCCACATATATAATATATCACGAAGTCTGCTAGAAAACTAACTATTGGCACAGGAAGTCAAACAGTGGAAGACAATATTTCGTGGAAAAATGTTATAAGTGGTCCATAGGGTGGATTTGGTACTCTGAAAAATTGGTTGATAGACAACTCTAATATAGGCTCTAGAAGTATGAGCTCTCAATTGCAATAATAGAAAAATTCATATCTCGTTCCCAACTACTTGAAAACATATTTCGTTTACAGGACTTTGTAGTAAATTGAGTGCTTTACAACATGGTCTCTTACGGTGACATGGTTTTTTTCGTTAACCTAACCGTTTAAAAGATATTAACGGTTAAAGTTTGACTATTTAAGGCAAATTTGTTTTTTTTCTTTTGAATTTTATAACTCAATTTTATAACGAACTTTAATATTAATATTAAGTTTTTTTAATTTCATAAGAAAAAGTGATAAATCTCAAAGCTGGGACCACGATGAGATATCGTTCATAAGACAAAATTTGACAAAAATAAATCAGAAAAGTTGGACCGATTTTGATGATGTTTACTTTGTTTCATTCTCCTTCGTTCCGAATAGCATAGCAATTAAAATTACATTCACTAAAAAAATTATGCAGGAATATGTTTTGAACATTTGGTTAAATTTTTGCTGAAATTATGCTAGAAGGAACCATGTGACTTTGAAGTTTCAAGAACAGGCATACAGTTAATCGATTATAAAAGTCCAAAATGTAAATATCGCTTTGTTATGGGTATAAATTCCCAAAACTATATTTATTGGTGCTTTTAGTTTTTACTAACAACATATATTCACTCAAATGTCAAGTGTCGCTCGCGCTGTCTTTGCACGATAAGTGTCGATCCCCTTACGTTCTTAGCTCCGTGGGTAAGACAATCAAAAGTACTTGACCATTGCGTGTGTAGAAAGGAGGACACTGAACACATAGATCTTTAACTAATTAATGGTAAGTTGTCAACACTAAGCGTTTTACTTGTACTAAATGTAAGCTTTACCTACATGCTATGCGCATTTACGTATTTATTTTCGATACTGCCTATTATGCTTATGTATTTATTAAAACGTATGCTGATTGCTAAAATAGAAGCAACAAGCAAGTCTATTACACAGTGGGTGGAATTCATTAAAATTGTGGTAAAGAAAAGCTGAAATTTAACGGGTTTTCAAAATAGTTAAATTTTGATTTGAAGTTTTGACACCGAATCCTTATTTTTACAGTACTCAAACTTGGTCCTTTTTTACAGTACTCAAAAAATTACTTTAAAAAATATCTAGAATCTTCATAAAGATGTTGGGCTGAGCTTCTCTTCTTTTTGTGATGTACCCTTCAAATTATTTAATAAATTGAACGATACACGTCTTGGGCTGACTCCGAGTGACTAGCGCAATTTTTAGTGAAGCTTTTTCGTAATAAAAATCGACTACGAGGGATAACCACTATTACGAAAAACCTTTTGATAATTGTCGGAAAATTGGATGGAACCTAATTGCTGTATTTGTCAAAAAACATTCGCCTAATACAATAATTTTCAAAAATGCTCCCCGTTTGACCGTTCTTGGCCGTAAAAACAAAAGATCATTCCGATTATGAATCTCTCTCCCTCTATCGCTCGCTAGTAAAGTATTAGCAAGTCAAATCTACTCTCACAATAAATGTATACTCATTTAATTATATTTTCAACACACTGTGTCATTACTATGCGTGCGCTACCCAAGCGCCAGCCTCCTTTCGAGCCCATAATTATCTCGAATCAAAACCAATTAGGGACAATTTATGTAATTTTTGCTGTTTGTTTTCTTACTTAAATATATTTTGACACGCAGCTGCCTTTTATGCGTACTCAGTAGGCAGTACACAAACAATATAAGCAAATATCAAATTTGAGCATTCACCTACCAGCATTGCTCAGAATCTGGTATGAAATTCTGAGCGCAATCATCGTTACCGCCTATAAATAATAATCATCATTGCTGTCGAGCTTTGATTGACATCTTTACGCAAACTTCAGCTGCACGTGGTATCCAACACTGACATAAACACGCTCATTCTTGTTACATGCATACACATACATTATACACAATTATGAGAGCTCAAACTTTGCCGGCAGCAATTTGAACGTGCTTTTGGCCGGCGGGGCGTATAGGTGTTCTGTTCACTTTAATCAACTTTTCATGAGAATACTTATATATAGGGGCTTGAATGTTGGTATTTATAGCTAATTGTGGCAATTCGCCAGTAGCTACAGGCAATTGTAGGTTTGTTTATTCGTTCATATATCGTTCGATGGTAACTTGACAACTATAATATTTTTATGGTATATATAAATATACATATATGGTATGTATATATTTTATGTATATCCATAATAAAATTTTCTCTCGTTGAAATTGAAGTCGGTCGCTACATCTTATAAGACCGTGTTTACATTATTCTTAACATTTTTGCCTCTATTGCTATTGATTGGCGCGTTTTGTTTATTGGGCGTAATGATGCTTGTCAATAAGCAAATTACAAGCATGTTTTTAAGTTTATTTAATTAGAACTAAGAATGACGGCTGTAAATTAAGAATTTTAAACGGATTTTTAATTCATGATTTTCAAGCATAAATTTATATAAAAGTAAATGTACTAATTAAGGAAAATTATAAAGAGTTCAAGGCAACAATCTAACAGTCATTCTTTCACAAAATAAACATTATCATACCGAGAACTAACTAGCTAATATCTATGCTATTTTCGAAAATTTTCATAGAATAAAAATAGTATATACTTAGAGTCTGAATATAAGGAAATCTGTAAATGCTAATCTCTGCATAATATTTGCCATAATGTTTATTTTCTTTCAAGGCCTCTTATATTCATTTTAAATCTAAGAAAGTGCTTTCTTCGTTTTACGGATTTGCCGGATTTGCAGAAGATTGCCGTTAAGATTGGTGGAGGAGTCCATTGTCTGTACCGTCGTTCAACTCTCCGTTAACTGCCACTTAAGCACAGGAGACTGTCATTAACTGGAAACCTTTTCCCAATCAGTTCAAAGGAAAATTCGATTTCGCGGACACAAGGTCCTAATTAAGCCAAGAGAGCTCGCTCCACACTAATTAGGGGTTTAATGTTAAACATTTAAAACTTGTGTAGGCAATGAAGTGGAGGTATCTGAACACTTTTATTGACTGCGCAGCCTTTATTAGATCAAGGTTGTAAGTCTTTATATCTCGCCTTCAGCCATAGCAAGTAACACTTGGTGCTAATCGACCGGCCTAAAACGTGAATTATCCATCGAAGTAGTCTCAAGATGGGTGATGGTGTTGCGAACAGTACGTCAGTAGGCCGATTTTGTTGACCATAAATTGAGCGAATCGCGCGAGAAACCATACTTTACCGAACGTGAATTTTCGTAATAAAGTTGGATGCTTTGGAAACGTTATTCACGCGTAACCTTTCCACGATGAAAAGCCAAGCAATACTGAATAAAAATAACATGATAGCTTGACACGACTTACGCGTGATCTGCCAAAAAGCTTTTGAAAAGTACCCTAGATCACCCCTTATAAGAGTGGTCTATGATATATTTGTACATTTTCTGCCGGCAAATTTGCCAAGTTACATTTAAACCTCTCTACCGTTCTAAGTGTTGTTAGTAAATTTACTGCAGAGGGAAGTGTTCGACGGTTGCTCGCCGCAACAGTCGTCGTTCGTCACCATGAAAATAACTTAAACGTTCGACGCCCTGCGGAAAAATTTCCAGCATTGTATGAGCACTTGATCCTTTGAGTATATAACTGGCATGCATCGCTAAGCATAACTGCTCTTATATTTCCGTTGCCGCATGATGAACAGGCAGACATTATGAATTGTTTATTCATAGCATATATGCTTTTGTAGCCTTTTTAGTTGCGGATTATGTACTAGTAAATACAGGTTTAATTTACCTTTGTTGTTATTTATACGTCTGAAGCAAAATAATCGTTGAGCTCAGTATAATTGAACAATTTTCCTTACTGATATAAATCTTTACTCTTAGCAATTAAACATTGCCGCTCGCTGTCTAAGCAATTTGTAAATTCCTTTGGCTCTTTAGTGCCCCATGACGCACATACTCCTGACGGTAGGCGCAAGAAGAGGCAGAAAACTGTCTACGGCTCTAAGCACCACTAAAGATTAAAGTTGCTGAAGCTCATAGAATATTTAATGGAAGGAGTAATGAACGTTAGTATTACCAGGAAATAATATTATATAATAGGAATAGAAAAGGAGTGTGACAGAAGTGGACATTTGCGGTCCAATGTGATACAGCATGTATGCAAGTGAGAAAGCTTTCAGTGCTTTACCTGTCAATCATGGCTTAGTCTGCATTAGAGCTTTAGATAACGTGTGAGGTTTAATCGCTAAAGCATTCGTGTGTAAATGTGCGCATAGCTACTTTAACAGAAATATTTGGTAGCGTTGTTGGGTAGTAACCGATGACTTAACCAATGGGTGCAAGGTGTTTTCAATAGCTCAATTTCAAAAGAAAATATTGCAATTTCAGACTAATTTCGGAAAATGGAAAATTAATTTTATCAGCCTTAATCTCGTGTTGGTCCACTACCAAAAAGTTGATTTCGCCGTATAGTGTAATGTCATGCGAAGATCTTAAAAATTGAGCTCCCAAAGTAAAATATGCAAAGCTGAACGAATGAATCCAGATAGCACTGTCACTGGTTTCTCCATTCATATGTTCTTGAAAACTTTTTATCGAATGTAAATTTTGAGAACCTTAAAAATCTTAAGTTGAGTCGCCACTGCACAAGCAAGTCATTTCATGTCTTTCAACTAACCTAACTACTTTTTCTTCCACCAACATTTGCTGCTTGCAACGCCATTGTAAATGATGTAATTTGCGAGCAAAGTTATTGCTGCCACAAACTTCGTCAACTTCGGCATCCACTCAAACCAAAAGCATAACAAGATAATACTCACATGTAGTTTACACAACCCATACGATTTGCAAGACACCGAGGAGGTCATTGCGAAAAGCAAATATGTGCACCAATGCATGTGTAGTGTGTGTGCTGGAGTTACAAGGCGTAAGTATGTATCGCACGTTGCATGCCACCACACAACACCACGACTAGAATTCTATTAAATTTTTAAACATATTTCTTCATATAATCACATATTGCATATGCTTACACTTTAAATAAATATATTCTTACTTGTGTGTTTATGCATGAGTGCACGCTGGCTTGAAGTTTCGTATTGAATGTCAATCAATGCGACCACTTGAGAATCCTCCCGACGTGACAGATTGACGGCCTTGCTGCTACAGCTACACTAGCTGCTTGACTTATTGTTGTTGCTGTTGTTGAAGTTTTGTTTTGCTTCCGTTTGTCTGTGTGGGCTACAGGATTTGAATGCGACAAACGAGTCAGTGTCAATAACATCTAAGTGCCAGTGGCGTTGAGTGCGCAAATGGCTTAAGAAGCACAGAGGACGGAAAAATTCAAGTCTAGCATTTCGGAAGAAGAGGCTTTAAGTAAACAAACAATTGATGGTTGTAGGTGTAGATTGAGAGGAGTGCTCTTATTTATTTCTTTAGCTTGATTTTCTTTTGTATATTTTCCATGATTTCACATTGGCATAGGTTAGGAGATGTTAGGTTTTGTTGATAATGGATGACTTCTACATAGATAATCTAGTTTCAGCTTATTTTCAGTTCTTGCTTTCAAAGCTCATTCGATGATTTCTCAGTATTTTGAAACACGAAAAATAACATGAAAAGCTCTTTCAGGGTTTACGAAATAGTTTAAAATTTTCAAAGACTGCAGTTGAATTTCCACCAAAACTCTATACTTCATAGTTAAGCGGGCAAATATAATTTGTCTGCTCAAATACTGTATAACTCAATCCGAAGAGTAAAATGCTTCTAATAGAACTTCCCTAAGTTTTCTACAACCCTTCCTGTCAATTACAACAGTCCGATTTATCATTATATACCATGTAGGTATTATAGCTTCGCTGCTACCAATTAACGTTTTTCGTGTTATTGTTGAACTTTGCCTTACCCATTACCCCCTCCGTTACACTTTCAGACCTTATCTTGATAAACACAGAATCCGGCTTAATGACATTGACGCTATATCAATTAAAATTAGTTAGTCTTGCTGTCGCAGTCGAATCGAATATTTCTTTATTGAACCATGGGTTCAAGTAATCTCCGGAAATTCTGTGTCCGATCGAACATTGACAGAGATACAAGCGCGTCCAGCTCTAACACGCTATTACAGCTACACGAAGTTCTTCACAGTTGAGGTCAAAGCTTTGAAAATTTCACATCGATGCAAAATATTCCGCCTCATCAATTTTCGCAATATTAATATATAATATTTAAGTCTAAGTTTAATCTTGTCATTTCTATTTGAAATCATTCATTCGTTATCAGTTTTTGCTATTCTTGCAATGTAATCGCAAAATATGATTACAAAGTGATCGCTCTTCACCTTTTACATTTTCTAGAGCAAGAGTAGACAACCGGTGTCAACATGGTTGATAAATTTGCTGACTCAGAAATTGCATAAATAAGTGAACTCGCGTCATCTTGTAAACAGTTAACCTCAAATTCTGTATACATATATGCAATGTTAAGCAATGACAATCGTATATGCTAATATGTCCGTCCGATTCTATGATTCTCGGTGCTTTGTTACCAATTTTATACGACTGTAAACTTGACAACGTCCCTCAATACAATAATAATAATATAGGACACTCTTTTGTAACTGAGTCATCTATAATCCGTTCAATTTTAATCCACAAAATCTACTATCTTTGTTTTGTTTGTTTTGTTTTCTGACCTATTGAAACTTATAGAAAGATTAGAGTAAATATAACATGGCACTTGGAACCCTTTATTATTTGTGTTCCTAATATTATTTTATTTCTTATCTTTTCAGCTTTGCGATGTGTCTTTGAAGTGGGCGGCGAAACTATACAAGCTCACAAAGTGGTACTTGCCTCTGTCTCACCATATTTCTATGCCATGTTTAACGGTAAGAGTCGCTTAATAATGCAAAACTAATAGCTGTCTTCGTTTCAGACCAGAATGTGACGAATCAGACGAGCAACCTGCAGTCAGGTAGAAGCGCATAATCTAATAGTGTTGCTTTTATACTTTATATAGAAGTCAACTAGAAAAATTGTTATACTTTTATCTCGAGACAAGAGCATAGAGCTTAAACCTAGCGAGTTGCGAAGACAGCTAATACTAAATTCAAACATTATTTCTATATTGAGCCGTTTCTTATATAACACCTTAGTTTCATATTCTTTCTCCTTACCTCACTAGATGATATGCTGGAGCGCAATCAGGGCGCGGTGCGTTTACACGATGTCGATGTGACAGCGCTGCGTCAACTCATCGATTACACATACACCGGCGAGATTACCATAACCGAGGAAAACGTAGGTGCTCTGCCCGCCTCCAGTTTGTTGCAAATTCATTCAGTACGCGAGGCATGCTGCAAATTCTTGCTGCAGCTCATCCATCCAATTGCCTGGGCATACGCAGTTTTGCGTGAGTAAAAATCTGTTTTTATACGTGGGACCTATAAAATGAGTATGCAAAGTTAAAGTTTTGTTTATAAGTTAAACTCTTTATGGGTTGAAGTGTTTGCAGTTTACGGCGATAAGTTTTGTAAGTTGATTTCATGCATAAATGACTTGAGCTTTTCTTGTTTAGAGAAAATACGTGTGCAGTATTTAATGTGTAAGGCACTGATTCTTTCGTGAAATATTGAGTTAGGTTGGTGTAAGATAATGTAAATTAAGTGCGTTCTTTCATTTAGAAAACTTTGTTGCAATGAAAACTATTTCACGATTTTAGTCGTCTTGTGTCAAGGTTTTAAACTCAATACAATCGAACCGAAACCCCGGAGACCCTACAAAATGCATACAAAATGATCAACGTGACGAGCCGAGTCAATTAGCCATGTCAGTCTGTCAATATATCGCGAACTATTCCTAATATTTCACAAACCTATTTATATTGAAGACCGTACAGGTCATCGTTCCTATCACATCGCGCAGCTTCAGAAATTTTCTCTAAAAACAACATATATGGACATGTGATATTCGGAAGTTGTTTCTAAGTCACGTTCGGGCCACAGGATCACCGAAGACGTTGCAGTCAATGGACGTCCAAAATTGTTATTCCGGAAACATTCAAGTCAAAACATCACGAAACTGAAGAATAATCATAATTTGAATGCTGCTAAAATGAGCTTGATCTGGATAGTTGACAATATAAACATATCAGATCGAACGTTTTAGATTTACAAGTATCGTTATCATAAATATTTGGGTTTGTGAAAGCTCTCCGCAGAGTTGGTACCGTACGAGCTCATAACCTAGACGATATGCTTCCGCATCCAGCGCCCTCAACACTTTTTTCCTGTTCTCAGAGCTGAAGAATATGATACCCCTAAGCCTACTACTTAAGTCTGAGATTATAAGTTCGGGAGAGGACTTCAATTCTAATTTGCTTTCTTGAACTAAAAAAGTAGTCGTTTTCAAGAGAGTGTTATTATGTTGTTTTTCATGACCAAAATTATTATTTATCAAAGAGTTTGATCAAAGTGGATGAAAAACGTCCCTGTTGAGCCCAATGCGCCCTGCTATTTTCGGCGTCATTAACATATGGGTGCTACTCTACTATTAAATTACATCCATTAAAGATCTGTGTTCGTTCAATTACGGCGAACTCGTATCTTCTTAAAATATATAACAAATTCTACTAACATTATATGTAGATTCGCTTTTCTTCTTATAAAGTCCAAGGATGAAAGTAATCATTAACCCTACCAAACATTCCGGTTAATTATTTTAAGTAATTGATTACCACTCTCGAAGCCAGAAAATAGATAATTACCATTTGTATTCCAAAAGCAGGATTTTAAGTCTCTACTTATAGGTTTTATATAATCGTTTTATCCACTTTGCTTTGCTTAGGCACTCTAAATATATATCCTATCATTACATTATCTTACAGATGCTCATTCTTGCAAGGAGCTGCATACTCGATCACATAAATATGCGCTACAAAACTTTCAGCAAGTCGTTGGAACCGAGGAGTTTTTACTTTTGCCATTCGATGAGGTAAAAAGATCTACCAAACAGTATCTCCAGAACTTTCCAGCTTAATTTCATATATTTTAACTTCATTCTTCCCTCACACTTCTTCACTTTTCTCAGGTCAAAGATCTGATATCAAATAATCAACTGAACATTTGCTCCGAAGAGAAAGTATTCATTGCTGTCCTGAATTGGGTCAAGCACGATCTGGCCGAACGTCAATGTCACATAGCCGAATTGATGAGCCACGTACGCTTGCCTTTAGTGGGGCGTGACTTCCTTATGACTTGCGTTGAAACAGAGGCGCTCATACGTGAGGATGGTCAATGCAAGGAGCTCTTGCTCGAAGCCATGAAATACCATTTACTGCCAGAACAGCGCAGCTTGATGAGCAGCCAACGCACACAAGAGCGCCGACCGGAAGGCATGAAGCCGTATGTGTTCGCTGTGGGTGGCGGCAGTCTCTTCGCCATACACAACGAGTGCGAGGTGTACAATCCGCGCACCAATGCTTGGACGCCCATCGCACCGATGCTGTGGCGTCGTTCACGTTCCGGTGTAACGGCGCTACACAAACAACTCTACGTCGTCGGCGGTTATGATGGCGTAAGCGACCTCAGCACTGCCGAATACTATAATCCGCTGATTAATAAGTGGACTAACATCACGCCGATGGGCACGAAACGCTCGTGTCTCGGTATTTGCGCTTACGATGGACTGCTCTACGTTTGCGGTGGTTACGATGGCGCCTCGTGTCTGAGCAGCATGGAACGTTACGATCCGTTGACGAGCATTTGGAGTTCATGTCCTGCAATGAATACGCGCAGACGCTACTGCCGTTTAGCGGTGTTGGACAATTGCATTTACTCTTTAGGTGGCTTCGATTCCACCAACTATCAGTCGAGTGTGGAGCGTTTTGATCCACGTGCGGGACGTTGGTTCCCCGTGCAGAGCATGACAGCGCGACGCAGTAGCTGCGGTGTGGCTTCCTCCGATGGCTATTTGTACTGCATCGGCGGCAATGATGGCACGATGTGCATGTCGAGCGGAGAGCGTTTCAATTTGCGTCGCAACGCATGGGAACCAATCGCCGCCATGCATTCGCGAAGGTAAGTGGCTAGCAAGCGAAGTGCTAACATACAAAGTTTGAGTACTAAATCACTATTCTATCTTAATTGCACAGGTCGACACACGAGGTGGTCGAGGTGGACGGTGCGCTATACGCGCTCGGCGGCAACGACGGCTCATCCTCGCTAAATTCCGTAGAACGTTACGATACGCGCCTGAACAAATGGACCGTAGTCAATTCGATGGTAGCACGTCGCAGTTCAGTCGGCGCTGCGGTGCTGGAGTGCTTTCATCTCGAACGCGGACTGGTACAGACAACGAACTTATGACCTTTGTCGACAATAGCCGAAACATTTGCGGCGGCGGCAGCAGCAGCCGTAGTAGTTGGAAATGGTAGTGGCGGCAGCGCAGCAACGGCGACGAATGGCAGCAGCAATAACCATCAAGCAACGACAACAAACGGCGTCACATCGACGCTGACGAACAATCTCATCGTGCCAGGACGTGCAGTTAGTGGACGCAGCATGCTGGGCGCGGCCGAAGTGAGCGGCAGCATCGGCAGTCTGATGAGCAGTAGCACGAATGCGCTCAGCACCTCGGCGCCAACGACAACGTCCACATTGCGACGTTTACGCGAACGCGAGAGGGAACGTGAAAGAGAGCGTGACAGCAGCAGCGCAGAGAATCGTGTAAATGGCGTTGTGGTAGCCGGCAGCGGAAGTAGTAGCAGCGCAGCAGCGGCTGGCGTTAATGGCACTGGCGGCGCTACGACTGGCAAACCACCGTCAACTGCTTGATGTCTGCGCTTCAAGTGATGCGAACGGGGGGAGTAAATCTAATAAGTGCAGACTTATTAAGCGAATGTGAAGGAATTGAGAGTTTGTGGGTGAGATAAAAAGATAATGAGGAAATATAAGAAAGTAGCGGCTGGAGTAAGTGGTTATATGCAGCTATAGTCTGCGATCTAGAGACGCGCGGAAAAGTTAGTGGCAAGCTAAGCAGTATTTCTAGTCAAACAAGACAAAATATGTGTGTAAATTGATTGAGTTGGTTTTTAAGAATGTTTGAGACTGTGTCGGAAATTGTGCGTGTAACGGTAATGTAAATGGCTAGAACTCTCTTAAAAGTATATAATTAATTAATGTATTAGCACGAAAAGGCGTTGATGCAATTTTCCATAGGTGTTTTTATGTAAGAATAGAATATTTTTTACCAGCCTTCGCCCGCCACAACCCTACTAATGCACACACATTCATTAGCACGTACATATTTACATATATATATATTATATATAAATACTTATATAACTAAAATCACATCAACAAAATATTTTCTATGTACATATATACATACATACATACATATGTACATACGCATTTATACAATGAAATATAATAAATTTTAAGCTCATTTAGGGCGAAACTAATTATGCAATGCAAACAAATTTAAAAATTAAAACCTAACCTAAAATAAATAAAACTGTACTGCCCCCAATTAGCTAGTTTTACACAAAAAGAAAACTTCTGAACTGCAACAAAAAGTTGGTTCATGATTATTTAGGGAATGCGTTATAAAAGATTTTGCATTTACGCAAAACAAAAACAAATAATAAAAACTAAAAAATTTTGGTGCGCAAGTAAGCAAGCAAATGGAATCGAATAGCGAAAAATCTACAAATATTTATAACCCACATGCATACATGTATACATATGTTAAGTATGCATTGAATTATGGAGTTTTTTATAAATTTATTTAATGTTTTAGCAATAATTAATTAAGCGCATACACACATACATAAATCGAAAATAAGCGGAAAATGTCAAAGAATAAATTATCAACAAAACTGCGTACACATATATAAATATATATAAATAAAGCTAATTTTAGATAAAATAGATTTTAGCATTAAAGAAAGACAACTTCTAACCACCTACCCACAAACTACGATTTACCTAATAAGTGTACTACAAACCAACAAACAAGAATCAATTTATATATATTACATACTTACATACATACACACATACATACATACTTATGTGTTCGCAGAAGAAGCAGAAAGTAAAAATTTGCATATTACAACAATAATAGCGTTATGCATATGCCTATGTATATGTATTTCGAATATTCAACCACACATGCATTCACGCACTCATATATACATGCATACAATACAATACAATACATACATACATAGAATACAACACAATACAAAACATACATATGTACATACATGTGTAGCAAAATAATAAGGCAAATTTTAAGGACTATTTATTTGTGTGTCTAAAGGCCTGCATTCGAGAAGTCCACTTATTTGGCGCTCTCCGGCCGCAACAAACCGAATTCTTATGCAATTACTAACAATTCAAATACATACAAACAATTATGGTAGAACCGCATATGTTTTTTAATGAAAGTCAAGATTTGAAGCTATTTCAGAATACTTCGGCGAGCAGTTTTTGATACGAAAGTAAGTACTGTTACTTCGGCCAAAAAACAGTTGTTGTTGTAACGTCATAAAACATCCCTGGATTAATAATAAGATAAATTGTTTTACTTACCGATCCAAGCAGGGTTAGATCCTCCAGCACTTGGCTGAACAAAATCCAAGTCAATACCGTGAAGATAGAAGCGACTGTTGTGCTATACATTATTTGAAGTCCCTTAAGTATTTTTGAGGAATATTGCCGAGTTCACAGTCTTTGATTGGTTAAAAATCTGGCTCCGTTTCGTTTGCAACTTGGCTGCAGTGGGGCCTCTGCTGCTCAGCTGTCAAGCAATATGGTGCTCTTTAATCAGATCTCTCAAAGTTCTATGGCAAGAGAGAGCTGAGGACTTAATGCTGCGTTCCTTTCGCTGTATATGTATGTAAGTAGTCGGGTCTGCGTAACCGAAACGACTCGGTTTCATAATCGATTTTCAGTTTGCTAAGCTAAGTTTAGATAAAATGAGACGTCGTTGTTTGCTGTATTATTCTTTTCTTAAGCAAAATATTTGATTATTCCTAAAAAGCTAATAAAATTCGATCTAAACGGTGATTGATTTGTTTCCGATGTTCTTCGAATACCAAAGTGGGTGCCACTCCGGATTTGTCCATTTAGAATATTTAATAACATCTAAGTCTAGTAGACTAGGTAGTTCATTCATGCCATATCCAGAATTGAGCCCGACGTACTAAAATTATGAAGGTGCATTGCTGGCGACATCGGAAACTGGTTTTATGAAGTGGTCCAAACGCTGAAATTCTCTACACCTTCAATTGCATTCCTGGGTTTAACATCCTTGGACCACTGCGTCGCAGAAAGTAACCCTCGTAGCAGTTACTCTGCTCACATACCGACGAAAGATATGTTGACGAGGAGAAATCGCTGAAGAACCCGCGTAGTAAGCTTTTTCTCAGATGGGTTGAAGCTGGGAGGGAAGGTTGGAGGGGGAGTCTTCTCTACTATGTATGTATGTAATGTTTTTCAGGCAGAGCATTCTTGACATTGTTCAATAGGCATTATTGCTGTAAGGCTAAAATTCAAGTCTGACAAAATTTGTCAAAGTTGTATGGAAAAAGGCCAATTTTGTATTTCCAACAACAACAATCACGTGAATTTTTCGTTGAATGGCTTTATTATTTTCAAAATAATTTCAAGCTGAGGCACACGCAGTCATATTATATTATAAAAAACAATTCAAATTCGCTATTTAACGCTAGCGAAACACAAGTAATTATTATAAACAAAAAATATTTAAGGAAACATTTCAATAAATGCTCGAATATAGGTACTATGAGTAGTCAATGCGTCAATTTAGACAAAAATATGTGCAGATTTTTGTTTTAAAGCAAACGATCCGCCGTATGTCGGGCGACAGTGCCAACGCTTGTTGCCGATTTATCACTTCGCTGCTTAGCTCCATCAAACCAACCCGATTCGACTGCAAAAATTGAAAACAAAAAGAACAAATTGGAATTATTAGCAAAGAAAAAGACGTTACTTTTTTGCAAGTGCTTTCTTTTGCTAATTTTTCACAATTTTTTGCAGCGGTATGGAATGAGAATGGGAGAGGCATGAAGGCGCGTTGAATTGAGAAAATGCTGAATGAGTTTGCAACTAAACAAAATACATTTTATGCGAAAATTGAAACACAATTAATTTATTGATGCGCTTTTTATTATTTGTTGTTTTTTGCTAAGGCAGTTTTATTGAGCTCAATTAATTTTGCGCTTCTTTACTACTCAATTCATAAACTCCTTTGGGTTGAACGTTGAAGAAATTAAGAAAAGAGAAAGTCATATAAAAAAAATTTAATTAATTAAAACAACAACTAACATTCCAGTCCGTATACTTTGTATTGGTGAAAAACTAACAAAAAAAAGAATGCTTGCCAATAAAATTTTGTAACGAAAGTAATCATATATTTTGTTCTGGAATAAGAACTCAAAAACATACATTGCCGGAGACTTTTGAAGCTTAAGAACTAACTAATATAGTAAGTGTGCAATTGTAACATGAATTCAGATTTTTATGAAAAATTAGAATTAACAAAAAAAAAAGTTCGTATTTCTTCTGAGCACGAAGGTTTCAGTTCCTCTTCAAATTCATACAAACATTTGGCAAGGTAAAACAAATTTGCCAATTTATTTGTACAAAAGTAACAATAAAAAATTTTTAAAGCATGATTTTAACGTTTTTTTCTTTTGTTAATTCTTACATGTTACTTTTTGCCATAATTATATTTCAGTTTTTAGAAGGAAACAAATTTATTTACTTTTGTAAACTTTCTCAGTCATATCATCGAAGCCAGAATCCTGAATGTTCAACATCAAGCTATCGGCTGAGAGGTAGACCTTGTTTTGTGAGCTTGCAATCTAAAGAAAAATTTTTGGCGCATTAATATTATGCATAAACTTCAATTTTCTGATTTATTAGATAACTTACAGTTCTTGCTATGCTTTGAGCAGCACGTATTTTACGCAACTTCAAGTAGGCGGGGTTCTGTTTCACAGCAAGACCCAACATTTTTGCGGCTTCAGCTTCACCCTCAGCTTGTACGATTTTTTGTTGTTTCTCTTGTTTGGCGCGCTCAACGAAGAAGACAGCGCGTTGTGCTTCCTGCTGTGCCACCTGTTTGGCTTCAACGGCTGCGGTATATTCCTTGCCGAAACTCAGTTCAGTGAGCGAAACATCATCCAAAATAATGTTGAAGTCACGTGCACGCTCTACCAATTCTCTGCGGATCAGCAAAGAAACCTTCCGAAAACAAAATGGTTGTTTTTATTAGAACATGTATTTCACAATAAACTACAATTACATTGTACCTGTTGACGTTGTGTGATCAATTGTGAGGCATTGAATTTAGCTACGACACTTTTTAGCACTTCATTGCAAATTGATGGCAATACTTTCTCATCGTAATCGACACCAAGTTGACGGTGCAAAGTTGGAAGACGCACAGAGTCGGGACGTGAGAGGACACGTAACGAAATATTGATCATCTGTAAATCTTTTGAGCCAGTGGGTGATGAGATTTTACGGGGACGCGAGCGAATGTCATAGACGATTGGGTATTGGAACCAGGGAATGCGGAAGTGTAAACCTTCTGAGTATATATCGTTTTGTATGCCACCAATACGACTGAAAATGATAGCACGATGACCACCATCAACTGAAAATGTCAATAAAATATCAGTACATAAAACTTTTTACGCTAAACGTTGCATTCGAATGTTGATGAAATCTATATTGTGGTTATGCAACCGGCGGATATCAAACACAGCCGGCACATGTACATAGTAGCGTTTCACGTCAATTAACATGTAAATTTATATTATATTATTATATACTTCAAAAACTACTAAAATTTGCGAAACAATGGCTTCTCGTTGCATGCAATGTTGCAGTTTCATTATGAAATTTTTTACGGCCCGCAACGGGCTTCGCTGATAATACACACTTTGAGGTTATGTCATCAACATGTTTTATCTGATTTTGCTTGTTAATTTTACCTTTAACTACTAAAAAAAAGCACTTTACCTGTATATAAGGATTGATTGATGCCATAAGCAGCAGCTCCAACAGCAGCCAACAACTTAATGCCCGTTGTTAATCCTGGTGGACCACCTTTGCCCAATTTTCCAGCCAAATCATTTAGTTTACTCTGTGCCATTGTCAATCAGTCGTCTGTTGTTAAGAATAAAGCATAAATATTAGAGCAAACGTTAACCAATTTTCTTATCGCTTTTACTAACATTTAAATGCAATAAATTTACTCGAGAAAAACACAAATTAATAGAAGAGAAACTGATTGCAAAATATACCGCACTGTTGGTCAAATTCCTTGTAATAAGTGACCAGTGTTGTATAGCAGTGCAAGTTTCATACAATGAAAAATTATTACGTATAGTAGTGTATTTTTATTTATTAATATTGCTGTTAAATGCGATAATTTATTTTTATTATATGTGTCATTCAATTAAAAAATTTAAATATAAATACTATTATCTCTTTTAAGAACGTATACTTCTATAAATGTTAATCAGAAATGCAGAGTTTTATACATAATATAATAATTTTGATATTTGAATTTTATATATTTCTTATACTATTTTTTTATATATTTCTTATACTTCCAACCAATTTCTCTGAGAACTCTATTCAGAATGTATGAATAGCTTAAATTTTTTAAAAATATGGCATTCTGGTGTCGAATTTAAATGCTTTGCAACTCTGTATTTTCGGAGTGTACATAAGTCAAAATGATTTATTTTTTTATAGCTAAAAGTATTGTGATTATTTTATTGTCTTGGGATAAGAATTTTTTAATAGTTTAGTGATTATTATAATATTTTTTTAAATATTAAGCCTTGTATATATTCTCGAGCAATTAGTAATAGTGTTTGATATCTTAACCACTTAACCAATGGATGCAGCAGCGATGGCGCCTGCATCTAAAGCTGTTCCCAACAATGCAGCTGCCTCAGATGTATCTTTGCGCTTTTATTCGTTCTTGCCTTGTACACAACCAAAAAAAAGTATGTAGTTATTATTTAATTAGGATGTGTATTTGAAAACATTTCATATTTATGTTTTTTTTTTTATTTTGTTTGTATCTGTTGTTTTAGCTTTGACTAGCAGTTCAAAAACAAGTGGTTACAGTACGGATACAAGTGGTGTGCTTGTTATCTACGATAGCGACGATGAAGGCTCATCGACTATATCTGCCGCTTCAGAGCCACAATTTGAGTTTCTATGCGAAATTGATTTTGATAAAAGTGTTGCGCTTCCACGACCTATAGAGCTCAAAGTGGATTGTAAAAAGGAGCCTGACCATGATCACATCAATCAACAACCGCAAAAGGATAAAGCATGTAATGAAAAAAATCAAACATCAATTCATACAGCAGCAACAACGGATTATAGTGATTGTGAAGATGAGCTTTTAGCATTGTGTAAAATCGAGCCAGTTTGTGATCTGAATGAAGTCTTGCCACATACAACGAACGTCGAACATGAAAATAATCACTATATTTACTTTACCTGTCCGCAATGTGGTGAACGCTACGATGCACATCCACATTGGCGGCGCCACATAGAAATGGCGCATCAGTTGGGCGATCAAAAGAATTGGAATTTCAAACGACGACCGAACAACGAGTTCGAATGTGCCAAATGTCACGAAACGTTTACACGTTGTACGCTAAAAACATTACAACAGCATCACTTTACACACTTGCCACACAAAGTGTACCATTGCAAATTGTGTCCGTATCAGGAGCATAGTATGTTTTTGATGATTTCGCATATTATGTTGCACAAGGAGAAAGATGCCAGCTGCAGTGGTAGCGTCAAAAGTAGCAATGGCGCGCCGACAGCGCGTGAAATAGCGCTATGGGAGCACGAGAGTCGCGCTTTGATTTCATACATTTGTCCGGCTTGTGGTTTAACTTTTGAGGCCGAAGATGCTTGGCAGGCGCACATAAATTTTAGGTGAATTTCAATATACTGGAAAATAATTTGAACTATTTTTTGTTTGTTCTTACAATTAACGAACTTCTGTGTATGACATTTCAAGTGAGATTTCGTTTGATTTCAAGTGAAGTGAAAAATTAAGTGAACCGTGTTTTAAAGTGAATTATAAACAAGAAATAAACGTGTACAAAACCTCACATCAACATCTCAGAAACTGAGTGACAATTTGCGTATATACAGACGGACATAAATAAATCGACTTAGCTCATTTTGATGATTATTAATATGCATATGTATATGTTTGGGTAATATACCCTCTTATATATAAATAGCTGTCGTCTTAGAACAAAAAACAAAAATTATATTACTGTTGAAGTCGGCTGCTATAGTTAATAGTTAATAATGCAATTAATTTTTAATACAATGCATATTATTTATACATATACTTTAATACATACAATTAATTTACATATTGTTTAATTATTATTAATATATATACATATATATATATCTTCCTCACAGTCACAACTTCCTAGAAAAGACGGCGGAAAATCGTTTTGGTGATCATTTCAAATGCTCCGAATGCACGGTCGAAATCTTCTCGCAGCATATTGCCGATCTGCAGCAACACCTATTCACACATTTGCCCTACAAATCGTATTTCAAATGCAAAGTTTGCAGTTTCACTATATCGCGACGAAATTTCATGCTCTCCCACTTATTTAACTTACACAAAGTACATTTAACACCCGGCGCCATTGCGAATGGTGACGCCATTTTAACACCGGCCACATCAACAACAACATCAGTTACCGGTGTATCGCCTGCAGTCGTAACAACAACAACAATGATCACCACACCACCTGGCGAAAGCGTAAATGACAGTCATATATCATCTGGTAGTTTGCTGGAATCCGAAGATATAAATGCCAATTCCATAAATGTTTATAACGATGAAAGAAGCTCGCGCAGATTTTCAGTGCCATCCCAGCCCATGGACATCACATATGCCAACAGCGTTCCGCAAAGATTGCCGGCAAAATATATTAAGACCAAAGGCTCTTTTACATGTAAGAAATGCACCAAACACTATTTGTATCGAAAGAGTTTCGATAAGCATATCCGTTTCTGCAGCATTATGAATTCAACGTTTTAAGTGATAAACAAGCAATATCGAAATTGCTTAGCAGACACACATTCATATTTAGGCATATACATATGTGTGTATGCATATGTCTAACGTGGGTGTGACAGGCATCACTAACAACAAAAGTCATAAATAAAAAAGAGTAATGTATAATTTTTTTTCGCTCACATTCCATTTTTAAGTATCTACATTTCATTTATGTACGTGTGTGCATGTGCTTGCGTGTGTGTGTAGTTTGGTGTATGGCAAGGCGACTTTTTCACATACACATACGCGTGTGTACAGTTATATCTTCACTTAGCATTGTTTTAAATGATAAGCTTTTTAAATAGTTAGCACTACGCTGCAGTTGAAATCGCACACCCGCACACACACACACAAATAAGTATATATATATTTATTAAACTGTAAGCTATTCTTTAAACATTGTTTCCTGTTTCGACTATAATGTAAGTGAAAATTACTTTTATTATATACATATTTTGTTACATAGATTTTAGTTATAATGACACATATTCATTATTTACAATTTTTGTTCGCTCAACAGACATTATCCTAACTCGTGTTAAGCTGTGTTAAGTACAAAAATAGAAAATGTGTATTTCATTATTTTTTTTTCAAATCAGATAACAATGAAATAAAAACAACACAATTGAATTTTTGCGTAAAAAAGTATTTCTATTTCCATACACTTTATTCTTATACTAAAATATATGTATGTATGTTTGTATATATGTTTAGATGTGTATATGTAATTCGAGCATAAATCTTTTTAAAATTGCAATATTTGCATAACACATTCGTATACATTTGCATACATTTCACATAGAATATTTTTTAAAGCAAAAAGCTACACTTAATCACACCGTAAAAGTTTTGAAAAGAGCGTAACCGCAACAAAAACTTAAAACACACATACACAGCGAGAGTGACATCACATTGCATACGCTTAGTATTCGCCACAAACAGTTTACAATGACGTCACATATCGTTTAAATTGCGATTTTCATTTCGTCCGAAATTCGTGTCGCGCAAATAGTGTGCGGTCTGCTCGTTTATCAGCGACATCACAATCGTTTTAAGGCTTAGCACCGAGGCTAACTTGTACTTGAGCGCCACCGACTTGACCAAAGCCACCAATTGCGCCAAATGCTCATCCATGCGCGCGCTGATGCGATGATGCTGCGCGTACAGTTGAAAGCTAGTTTGGAAAAACATAAATTTACACTAGTATTACATGATTTTCGAAATGAACTTATAAAGTTATGTGTAAATAATATTAAAATACGCATGCGCTTAATAATAAACAAATATATATAATTGTAATAACCAAAATAGCTTAAAATAAGTAGCCATTTGTAGCATTCTATAAATGGCGCCTAAATGTATGCTAAGAGGTGGTGTTAGATAACGCGCTGTTATCAGTGGCGTATCGTTCTATTTACTATTATTTGAAATTTATTTTATTGCTACATTGAAATCTGCATTTTATGGCATTTTTTTTAAATAAATATTAGTTAGTTTATACATATTTTTAAAAATAATTTTATGCTTTTAATTTTGAAAATAAAAAATGGGACTGCTAAAAAATGTTGTGTCATGCATTTATATGACAAGCAGGGTTGCGAATTTTTAGTTAAAAATATGTTGGAATTGAAAATTAAATTTTAAGTTTCTTATTCTAATGTTGCCATTAATAATTTTAGGTTTTATTATTAAAAACTGAAAATTTAATTTAATAAAAATTGCAAATTTATTAAAAAAGATTGCAAATTTAACTAAAAAAAAATGCAAATATAATTTAAAAAAAGTTTGCAAATTTAATTTTAAAAAAAATGCAAATATAATTTTAAAAAAAGTTTGCAAATTTAATTTAAAAAAAAAATGCAAATATAATTTTAAAAAAATTTTGCAAATTTAATTTTAAGAAAAGTTTGCAAATTTAATTTTTAGTCTCAAAATCTTGGATTTTTAATCCTAAAATCAAAATTAAAAATTTTAAACTTAATTTTTAATACCAACAACTTGTGCTAATTCCGATTTGGATTTGATTTTTAATTTCAATTCCCAACGATTTTGAATTAAAAAAAAAATTATTTAAAAGTTGGAGTAAAAGTAAAAAATTTATTTTTCAAATTAAAATCATGAATCAAAAAGTTTAAAAAAGGAAAGATTTACATATTTCTAACTGAAACACTATAATTAAAAGCAATTAAATAAGAATACGATTAAAAAAAACTAAACTATGTTGATATTTTATACGCAAATTCGAAAAAATGTAAATGCTGAAACGATTTCTCTTTTTTTTTAATTTTTAATAATCCCAAAATGGTTTCTTTCAATCCGGTATTTGGGATTAAATATTAATTTTTAATTTGTAGAATTAATTTTTTTCTTAGTTTTTATTCCGAGATTTGGGGTTTAAAAATTAATTTGAATTAATAAAAATAAAAAATTAAAAAATATTTTTTTTTTTTACTTTCTATTCGGGTATTTGGGATTAAACTTTTACTTCTAGTTTATTAATTACATTTTTGGAAATACAATTATTATTTTTAGTTTTTATGCCGCTATTTGCGGTTAGACTTATTTTTTTCTTATTTTTTATTCCATTATTTATTTATTACTAAACATTAATTTTTAATTTTCGGGACTAATTTTTTTATTTTTATTCTGGTATTTGGGTTTAAAAATTTATTTTATAATTAAATTTTTGGGAAAAAAACTATTTTCTTTAGTTTTTATTCTGGTATTTGGGGTTAAACTTATTTGTTTATTCCAGTAATTGGGATTAAAAACATGATAAAAAAAATATTTTCAAAATTTATTTTAGTATTATATTCTGGTATTTGAGATTAAAAATTTAAAAATGATTTTCGAAAATCTAGATTACAAAAAAAAAATTTTTTTTAATTTAGAAATTCCCAAATACTTAATTTAGTTTTTTAAAGAAGTAGTTAAAGTAGTTTGAAAAATTGCTTTGAATTAAGATTTTCGAGATTAAAAAATAAAAATGTTTTTTTTTTATTTTTTTTAAATTCAGATATTAATTCAATTATTTTTTTAAAACATTATTTGCAACCCTGCTGACAGCATACATACAAATTAGTGGCTTTTCGACAAAACAACTTAACTCGACTTAGTGTTTTTAACAACTTCAACTGTAGATCTAATAAATTTTATACAATTTTCATGTTATAAATAATGTAGAACCGCGGAAAATAACGTCCAAAAAGTCAATGGCTACGAAAGTTGCAAGCGTGTGTAATCAAATAAAAAGCAGCTAAAGTCACATAAGTTGTTTTATAAATTAACCAAATATATTTATGTGCATGTATGTATGTAATATTTTGTTATGCATATTAATTGCAACGCATTCCATTTATTATGATTATATTTTTATAAAAATTACACAAACAAATTAATAAATAAAAAAATACTTCTTTTATAAAATGTTTACAAATTTCGGTGAAAATAAAAAACAAAATTATTTAAGTGTACTTCACAAATTTTTTAACTCGCAAAATGTTCATAAAAACAAAAAATTAAAAAATAAAAAAAAATTGCTTTTGTAAAACGTAAAATAAAAGACAATTTTCTATATACAAGTATTGCTATAAATAAGTAACAGTACCCACCCTTTAACAGTATTCTCAATGATATTATCGTTGATCTGTAAATGTTGCAAGTATTCCTGCAGATAATGCGCATGTCCGAGTACAACATATTGCGAGAGCAGCACTTCAGCCCAGCTTATGTCGAAGCCGCAAGCGCGACTTAGTATAAGCGTCTGCGGCACGCTGAAATATAATATAATATATTATATAATAAAAATAGTATTATTAAATATAATAAATATGAAAAATAATATATAGCAAGAAATATATAAATACAAAAAATAAGTAAATTCAAAAATAAATAAAATATAGACATACACATTTACATATATTTATTACAACAAAAAATATGAATTTAAAATAAAATTGTCATAAATATGCATAAGTACATAGTGTGAATTTTTCTACAAAAACAGTGTCAATTTTCAAATTAGTAGTTCTAGTATTAACGTTTTTAAGCGAATAAAATTACAAAATATTGAATTCAAAACATTTGAAAGCAAAATAGTCACAAAATAAAATAGTTTAGGTGAAAAAGTGGCATACAAGCTGAATTGAAAAAAATGTATTAATTAATAAGCATGACTTAAATATATATATGTATGTATGTATTTGTATGTGGAATTTTTAGGTTTTGGTGAAAAATGTTTAGGCTAGCGAACGAAAAAGAATGTCTTAGTATTTATTTACTGAAATCATTTGTACAAACAATTTCAACGAAATAAAAAATAAATATAGAAACAACTTTTAGTAACGTTATATCAGCAGTGTTTTAAATTATTTATATATATACGCTGAACTGGGTGCATTAAGTTCGCCAAGAAGTTTATAACACCCAGAAGGAATACGTCAGAGATTCTATAATACCTATGTATATGTAGATATGTATATAAAAGATCAGCAGGACGAGCTGAGTCGATTTAGACATGTCCGTTATGACTGTCAGTTTTTGAGAAATTTTGCATACATCCTTTTCTCCTCAAGAAGCTGTTCATTTGTCGGAATCGTCGATAACGGACCATTATAGCATATAGCTGTCATACAAACTGACCGATGAAAATCTAGTTTTTGTATGGCAAACTTTTTTATTTGACGAGATATCGTCATAAAATTTGACATAGACTATTTTCCAAGGCAACGCAATCATCTCCGAATATATTGTTTGGTTCTGACTACTATAGCATATAGCTGCCATACAAACTGACCGATGAAAATCTAGTTTTTGTATGGCAAACTTTTTTATTTGACGAGATATCGTCATAAAATTTGACATAGATTATTTTCCAAGTCAACGCAATCATCTCCGAATATATTGTTTGGATCTGACTACTATAGCATATAGCTGCCATACAAACTGACCGATGAAATCTAGTTTTGTATGGCAAACTTTTTTATTTGACGAGATATCGTCATAAAATTTGACATAGATTATTTTCCAAGTCAACGCAATCATCTCCGAATATATTGTTTGGATCTGACTACTATAGCATATAGCTGCCATACAAACTGACCGATG